GAAAGACACAATTTAACATTTTTCAAATTAATTTCATTAAGTTATATTTCAATTAAATGATACCTGAGCTAGAATATATACTTACAAACAGATTTACTCTTAACACTACACCAAATCTAAAATCAAGCCACTATAACTTCCAAATACACATGACACAGGTAATTGATTTAATTGGGCCAGCTGAGCTGTGCACAAATGTACATTGTACTGTAGCCTTGACACCAATTGACAATAATGCTAACCAGGTATTAAAGAGGTAGATGACAGCAGATAAAATCTGAAGAGCACCATAACTGATAACAAATTACACCCAAGCCAATGAAGAGAGCCTTTATAATGTAAGTCGAAACCTTGCCTGGGTATTTCCACACGTTTTTACAACACACTCTCCACCCAAACTTTTTGGGCACTAGTAACATGCAGTGTACGTGCGCTCCAAACGTATACCCCTCGGTCTTTGGTTTAGAACTACTTTTTTTTTCTTTTATGGTAAAGGCTGCACAGCTGGGTCTTCATTCTTTGCTGTAAAATAAATTAGTTTTATCCTTTACTTGTCCGATGAGTCTTGATTCAAAGCCACTCCTCGGTCTCTCCTCTGTTTACGATTTTCGTCCCTACACCTTGGATTGTTACCACTGCAGGCAGTCTGTGAACGCTTGTTAAATTAGTTATCTTCTCTCTATCATATACCCTGTAGTAATTCATCATTTTACTCGGTTTAATATCAAAGAAAACACAGAAATAAAATACTAAATTGTACATGTAGACATGATCATGCGCAGCAGACGATTCTGGTCTCCCTCCAGTATGGCTGCCGTTTGTTTTGATGACGAGGGCTACAATGGGTTAATAGTGAGCAAATCTTGGAAGAATCTTGGAAGGTTCTGAGGGACGCGATTGGCTGATTTTTGGGAGACTGATGCGTCCGGAGAGAGCAGAGACTCGAAAGCCTAATGAAGAGGAAAAGTAGGTTAGAAACAATCGGCCGATCGACTATGTAAGATCTGACCTAAATCAATCATACGTAGCTAATTGATAACAAAATATGCTTGGATTGTTATGTTTGGAAATTTGGCGCCAATCTAAAACACCACGGCCGTGACAGCGTTACGATATATTTCTCAAAAATCTGAAGAGGTAATCATGTTTACCCTAGTAACTGGCGCGAATTTAAAGGGGCGCGATCAGACTCAGAGAAGGTTAATAATCACTTCCTGATGGTCATTTTCAGCTCTTTTAGGTCTCTCCTACGGGACTATTTTTCCTGATTTAAACCAAACTAAAGAAAATTCGGAACAATAAACTCTTTGTTAGTCTCTTTGTAATGGAAAGCGCGCCAATACGATCAGTACAAGCTAAATTTTCCTTGCAACCAGTGTGTCTTTAAGTAGCCCGGTTAGCTCAGTCGGTAGAGCATGGGACTCTTAATCCCAGGGTCGTGGGTTCGAGCCCCACATTGGGCGAGTTACTTATTTTCTTTTTTTTTCTTCCCTATGAACTTTAACAGTTAACTTTAAATGTAAGATTTGTTATTTTACGTTACATAATATATTTAAAACTTATTTGCATGTAACTGCCAATGAACATCCTTATTTAAGACACTGTGATAAAGGAAAGTATACCTTCACATTTGACTTTTCTGTTTAAGAAATTGCTGTGAATGTTCAATGATTTACTACTGAGTCAGACTCCTTCCATGACTTTCGCAAGCAAGAGGAAGAAAATTTTGACTTGTAAATGTTTTTTTATTCAATATATTGCTATATAAATCAAATATGAAAGCATTTGGCTTACATTCACTCTATATTTGTGCTGTCTCTCTCTCTATATATATATCACCACCATCAAAACAAAAAAACTTTAGAGCAAAAGGAAAGTACATGGACTTTTCTCTGAAACATTTCTTCTTGGTTCCAGTGCCTGTTACACTAGACAATCTCTTTATACAATACCCTTGAAACTATGTCAGAATTTTCATTGTTCCGAGGCCAATTTTCCACACTAATATTGCAATATACTTCCATTTAATGCTATGTACAGCAAATAATGGTTATAAAGTTTGTGTAATTATGACCGAGCTCAGTGAGCTGTAATGAAAGCTAGACCTAAAGAATATCAAACCTCAAAGAAACACACTGCATTACACATCTTAACATAGAACTACAAGATTTAAACACTATTGCCTCTAGCTCTTGCTCACAGATTTTAGAGAAAAATGTACTGAACAAAATAATAATAATAATAATAATGACAAAAATTGAATTACATAAACTATCATAATAATAAAATCAATCACTTTTCTCGACATACACTGATAAACTTGCAGTGAGATGCGCATTATCAATAACTAATTCAACACCTTTCAAAAAATAACCATAAACAATTTTAAAGAAACATTGTGCACATTTATCAAAAAAAAAAAAAAATCCCCTTGAATTTTGTTCAGTATATTAGTAACAAAATTGATAAATACATGTATTGCTTCATTCATGACTAAAGTTTAGTTAAAGATAACTGCATCACCAAAATCACGTTAGGGGTAGGGACCCAGGAAGGGGGGGGGGGGGAAGGAAAGAACATAAGCTTGACACTAGCCATAATTTCTAATTTGGTCATATTCTAGATATTATTTTAACTAACCTAGGGGAAATAAGTGTAATTTTTGGGGTCAGCCTTTTCAAAAACTATCTGCTCTCTTTGAGAAAACCCAGGTATAAGATGGCAACTTTCTTACTTTCATTAAAAAATAACTTTAAATTCATATCATATTTCTTGGTTTGTCAAGAAATACGTTAAATAGCAATATCAAAATAAATATATTCCACTTAACATTTTCCATTTTCGGCAACTTCAACAATTCCACTTCCAAAATGGGGTATGTTTTAACAATGACTTTACAATAACATGACACAATATGAAATGCCTATGGCAATGAAATACTAATGATTATCAGATTTATAAATACATACCAGTAGAAACTGACATGAGTGGCAAAATATAGCATTATTCAATTAAGCAAAATAACGTAAATGTAGCAAAATAACAATTTGTGCAGTATATATGAATGCTGGAGAGGGTTACTCTTTTCTAGCTAAAAACAAATGCTTCATCTAGCCGAATTTTATATTTTAGTTAGTCAATAATAATCTGTAACAAATTTTAACAAAATTAAAAAAAAAAAAAAAACCTAAAAATAACAAACACAAATAACATTTTTCAAAAATAATTGCATTCACTTCAAAATTTGGTTCATACAAAATATTCAGCCCATAATTTTGTATTTATTTTTCTCCTGTGAGTGTTAACTTAAAAAAATTGCCTTCAAAATGCATCAACATCACAGAAAGGAATTCAATTTTATTGATGACTGAAGATACTTTAATCCTTCATGTTCTGTTGTTTTTGATATGATCAAAACAAGAATGACTTCCTGGTTGTCATTTTTACTGAACAATCTAAAATTTAAATTCTCATGACTTCAAAATGAATAATTTCTAAGCTGTATCTATCGTAAGATAGTCAACAGTCATGAATAAAAGCACAACTCTACAAAGCCTTATAGCCATATAGACATACCATACATAATACTTGAATTAACATGACCAGTTCACTTAAAGCTAAATACAAGTAAATAGGATTTTTTGCATGTTACAATTGTGAAGCAATAATAAACATTTACAAATTAATACACATGTATTCAGCAAAGTCTGTCAATAAAGTAATGGAGCCATCCTGTTTAAGAGCACTAATTGTCGACATCAATGAAAAGTCCATCAAATCTTTTACAATCATAACAAAAACCATTCAAAACAAGCACCTTGAGAGCGGCAACTGTTACATCTTTATATAAACCTGGTCAGCAATTAACCCTCCTGTATATTTTACATCCAATACAACTTCCTGCTCGAGTATTATTCAACCCAATTTTACTACATCATCTACCTCATTAATCAAAGCCCCTGTTCAAGAGTGGTTCAACCCATACATTTAATTCAAACAAAATTTCAGCAAGTCCCTGTGAATGGATGGTCAAACCCACACATTATCTCAATTATTTCCCATGATCTGCCTTCTGTAAGTGCTGATTGACTGCAGTTCTATGATACTGAAGCATAAGTGTCTACAAGGAACCTTTGCAGCATCTGTCATCTTCTCTAATGCTGCCCCCTGGTGAGGGTTTTACTCCAGTTCCACAATGACTGCCTCTTCATCCACAGTGTCTCCTGCTTTGAAATTCACTGCTTTCACCTACAAATATTAGATAGTAATTTTCTATTATATTGTTCCAGGTTATAAAATCTTGAATTTTGTAAAGTTCTTGGTGATGATAATCATTTACTTTGGCACTTTTTTGTTGCTGTTGACCAAAAATTTGATTAAACAGATTGTATGTGTTTTGAAAGTCATATTTTACATAATTGCCATTAAATGTTTTGAATATTAGCATGCTCTGTATAAAAACCAACTGCATCAGCTAATAGGTGAAAATCAAAAAGACAAAGGAGGCAAATTGTTGGCTAAAACATATTTCATGAAAAGCAATTTTATTTTCATTATTTTTTCATTCCTTAAAACCCAACTTCAAAATTCCAATAAATTGAAAAAAGTTCATTTCAAATCTATCAGTATAAATTCTCATAGAAAAATCTTTTTAATGAAGAAAAACAATTTTTCAGAAACATAATTTTAAAATCATTAAAAATAAATTCACGTGTAGCATCTGTGGTGCTTTTTCTGTATATACAATAGAACTATAAGGTAGCCTGTTTATCAATATTGTTGCTATCAGGAATGTTCTAACTTTAAGAATTTATGACTTGAAAAAATACAATATCTGTAAAATTAATAATTTTGCCCCCACTGAAAAGATCGAGTCATTACCACACCTTTCCGTCTCTTGCTGCAGGCAGACTGTTCTGCATCTTCATGGCCTCCAGTACACACATTTCCTGTCCCTCAGATACCTGGAGACATAGAAATAAATTATCAAAAAAAAAAAAAAAAAAAATAGGCACTGGCACTCATCATCGGGCCAAAAAATAATGATACTGGTAATAATTATTGAGTAAACAAAATGACAAAAGAATAAGCTAGTGAGTCAACAGAGCTCCACCATCATGATTAAGATGTCTACACGTTGATCATTACTATATGATGCTTTATAAATGTTTCTTATTTTAAATACTACCAGTCTACCACCAATGTTCTAGCCATAGTCCCAGTTTTCTTGTCCCGACCATGGGCATCTCTGCCATTCCCCCACAAGGGCCCTATATCATATTAAATATTAAAACCCCCCAGACCACCTATAACAATATACATAACACTTACATTCTGCCCCACTTCCACAGCCACTGACTTGACCAGTCCTGGCATAGGGGCCATCACCATGCTGCTCAGGTCTGCTTCCTGCTTGGTGATCATGTACTGGTACATGTCACTGTACTCCTGGGGCATCACGTGCAGGCTGAACTGAAGTGATTCACATGGCATGAGATGAAAGTGATTCACATGGCAAAGGATGAAAGTGATTCACATGGCATATCATAAAAGTGATTCACATGGCATATAATGAAAGGGATTCACATGGCATATAATGAAACTGATTCACATGGCATTAGATGAATGTGATTCATATGGCATAATATGAAACAGATTCAAATGGCTTTAGTTGGAAAGTTATTTATATAGCAATTTTAATTATCAAAATATTAATATATCTATAAATTTCAAAGCTAGTAGGCAGGACAAAATAGGGGTAATTAAATAAGGGCTCTCCACGTGTAAAAACCAACATCTACCGAGTTAAGCTGTAACATATTAAATGGAAATTCTATTGAACTTACCACTGTTCCAAGATACCTTAGTTTCACAACGCCTCTGGCCTCTTTTATGGGAATCTTTGTTAGGAGCTATTTGAAAAAGAAACAGACTGAATATAAATTTTCTGCACTATGATCAGGAAAATAATGGGACGAGGCTTTTTGACTAGTCTTTAGGATTCTAATTATTTCTGAAATATGGTTATGTCTGAGACCAAACAGATAAAAGCTAATGAATGATATAATGGGACAATTTACATAATAATTTAAACAAGTGGATTAATAAACATATGCATAGAGATATAGACAAATCTTTAGGCCGCTCGAAATTTTTATCTCCAACATACCATTTGTCACACTTAATATAGAGTCACAATTAAAATCTTCAACATGCTGTCACATATGAATATTGTTCCATATGACAAACTGTCACATCTGACACAATGCTACACTCAACACAAACTCCTACATATTACACAGATACACCTTTGACACAATCACACCTGAAAGCCACATCTAACACAATGTCACCCCTAAACAACACATCTACCACAGTCACATCTACCACACTCACAGTCACATCTACCACACTCACAGTCACATCTACCACACTCACAGTCACACCTACCACACTCACACTCACACCAAACACACTTAGAGTCATACTTACCATCATTGTCTCAATGTCTCCATTGATTTGAGCTTCTATGACATTAAAACCAAGAGTGAAATTATCTGCCACATCAAAAGTCTCCTCCCCAATAGTAACCTGATGGATAAAAAACATTTCAATATATTGATATTATCACACAGATACATGGTACATGTGATGTTGGGTTACATCTTTTTACAGTATAGTTTCTACATATCTCCTTAAGCTCATTTTTCAAGGTGTTATGTAATTGATAGCAATTAATTGAAAATGGATTATTGCATTTGGGATTTGCAAAGAAACTCTATATGAGAAAAGAAGAGTTATAAAATTGCTGTCATTTTTAAGTCAGACTGAAGTCTTTGATAACAATTCTATACATGTAATATTTTTAGGAAGAGTAATTAGTGAAATAGAGACAAATATTACTGCTAAACATCTGGTAAGAAATAATTATTCCAAGTACACATGGAAAATATTAAATACTGATCTTAAAAAACATTTAATAATATAACACTCATGCAAAGCAACAAGAAATATACTGTAATGCAGAAAGGTTTAGAATACACAAATCAAATATATATATATAAATGAATCTAGGGACATCAGTCTTGCAAAAGTGCACTATTTGTCGTTGTGAAGAATAAATCAGACGACAAAAAATTTTCATCACAAGAATAGTCAATAGTAAACTATATGAACATATTTAAATCTTATTTCCATCTTATTTTTTTATTAACATTTTCAACTGTTTTAAGCGATAGTTTAAACACATTGAAATGTATCTTGGTACAGAGCAGTCAAATGATGGTGACTAATAAGCCTAAGACTAATATCCAAATATTTACATGTTGGGAAATTTAAGCCATTCAAAGATGCTGCAAATTCAAACACTTCCCTTCTTGGAACAATCTTGAGAAAAATGAAAAACTTCATGATAAATTTCCTTAAGTTTTTGTTTAATCTGTACAAAATATCCAAAATATCTTTTATGAACTGAGATTGCCTCCAGCAAAGAATATTATTTAAAACATACCTTGATAACATTACTGGTTTCTTTCAAAAGCACATTCATGTCTTAAGATTCAAAACATTTCATATCCCATCTAAGAAGCTATTGCCTGTAAGCTAAGAAACCAAACTTTTCAACAAAATAAACATCTGACATATAACTGTAGGAGTATTTGAAAAAGCAGTAGCAACATAAAATCTTAAATTGTAGCATAAAATTATAAAGAGTCCATCTAATAAATGAAAAAGACTAGACCAAAATGAAGGTTGCATTGTACAATCTGCATGTGTTGAACATGGAAAAAAATAGAAATTGCAAAAAAAAAAAAAAAGCTTTTTTTTTTTCAAGCAAAAAGCAGTTCCCAAGTGTTAGGCTTCACCAAAGCCATGCATGTAAAATGCAGAAGCAGCTTAATAAGAAGTATTTGTGAAACAAGACCCAGTTCACAAAATAATGATGTCATCAGATGACCAGTTCATATATCAAAATGGGGTCTCTTCACAAAGATGCCCCACTGAGATTCAGATTAATGAATCCCTACTGAAGAAATGGGATAGAATCATACAACCCCCTCCCTCTGGATTATATCACTGGAAGTTTATTAAATGAGTTTTGATCACTGTTGTGGTCCTTCTTAAAAATTTGTCCTCAACAGGTAACTGATGCACCTGAGAAGATTGATTCACGAATAGTTGTCAACAAAAGGACCAGTGGTTTAAAGCTCAGAGGGAATATCAGTGGTATAATCCAAAGGAAAAAAAAACAATTTTTTCAAATGTCAACTTGAATAAATGAACTGAGATCAGAGTATAAATCCCTGTTTAATCATTTTGGTCAAAAGATAACAAATTTGGGGCTTGAACCACTCTGGGCAATTTCAAAGCATTCAAATTCAAATTTCCTTGCAAAAGCAGTTACAAGAAATAAGATACTTGAGCACTCTGGCATGTAAGGTGTGTCTGGGACAACTTACAATAAACTTGCTTTCGTGTTTGCTCGGCACATATTTAACCTGTGCCGTATAGGTGGCATCCTTGTAGCGAATGCTGAGGTTCCACGCTGGAGGAAGGTCAGCCATAGGTGGCAGCCTGTTTGACATAACAAGACAGGACCATCACCATGCTTGATACACTACCTAGTACTTTTGATATTCTTACATTGTGAATAATGCCAGATTTGTACATGTCAGTATTCTTACTATATGCAGTCTTAACTCTTGTATATGTCTACAATGCTAAGCAGGAAAAATTGTTGAAAAAAAAAATACACTTGACATTGCTTCTGTCATTTTGCTTAGGCACAGTGGCTTCAGCATTATATGGTATCCCCTAAAAATAATCCAAAAATTTCAGCAAAATTCCTAAAATAAAGGACAGTTTGCTAATCCAGAATCCAGAAAATAATGAAGTTTTTCCACCACCCTAAAAGAATAATAACAAGAGTCATTTCTTTAAAGATGAAAAAAAAAAAAAAAATGTCAGGATCATATCATAAACATGCCATGTTTATACTGTAGAAAGTTTTCTTCCGTCCACCTCTGTCTCCTGTTAGAGTAATTACTTCATTTTCTTGGCACACCAGCCCTTGCTGGCAGTGATCAATAATCTATTGGTCACTGCTTGAAATGTGCCATTTTCTTCAGTCTTTACTGCTCAGTTATCAGACAAGAAGATAAATTCAATTTTCAACTTCAGTCAAATACAAACACCTCCTCAAAACTGTAGACTGCATATGGCTCTGGTTAGTGCTTTTAGGACTGTCAGGTCAATCAGAGTCTTAAAAGAGCTTATTTGGCTGACTGTGACCTTTCTGGTGATGATAAAAATCCAGTTTCCTAAAAAAAATCCTCTTTATTTGCATGTAGTTGTCCAACATTGTCAGTCTTCCCTCTTTTATGTTCACCAAGTTTGATTATGTTCGTGGCAAGAGTGGTCAATTTTATGCTGAGTCTGCCTTCAATTCCCATCGCTGGCTTCACATGCATCTGTCTAGATTTTCAAGTTTTTAAACTTCCTTTCTGATTCTTTCTCACGTTGGTGATAATTGTGGGTAAGGTTTATCTGTGGGGTGTTGACACTTGTCTGCGTGACATTTCCAATCTGTGTCTTCTGGATATTCTTGTTTTATGTTGCTGAAGGCAAATGATGGTGTGCGAAATGCCACACCAGGGACAAGTTCCTCTTGCACTTTCAGCTCCTTCATTTTACACATGTAATCTGATATAACTGATTTGTTACAATTTTCAGGATCTGGAAACAATAAAACAGCTGAAAAAAGCAAAAAAGCTCACAAACACAAACACATACAAGACCTTTAAACAAACACATACAAGAAAATAAACAGAAGAACAACAAACACAAATACAACAGAACAATCATAAGAACAAACACAACACCTCCTTTCAGCGGTCATGACACCTTAGAGACTATGAGACTTACACAGAAAGCACCCTGACTACACGTGACACAAGCATGATGGATATCGTCTGCTATCCTTATCGCTAGTTTCCATTGTGATGGGACATTATTTGATACTGGAAATCTGGAACATAGCATATGATCACATTTCTTTGTACGTTATACCTGGAAAAGATCAGGAATTCTGAAAGAAAAGTTGGTTATAATAGAGACTATTGAAATTATTGTAAAGTTATAAATTAAAAAAAAAAATAGAAAAGAAAGTAGTAACTGAGGTATGTTGAAATAGGTGTTTCTTTAATGTTATGAAAGTGGGTCTTATGGTTTGTGAAATAATAAATCTAAACTGCACCTAAAACATATATACATTAAAAAGGTAGACTCTAAAGTAGAATACACTTGAGATATCAATTAAATAATATTTAAATTGACATCATCTTTATATCAACAAAATTAAGTAAGGTAGATTACAAAAAGTCACTACTTAAATCTTTGCTCACCTCTTTATTCATTTAATATCTTATCATTCATCAAATTATTCATATACCATTATAAATAATGTTATTCAAAGCTGCCTTAAAGGGTCTTTAAGAAATGAGATGGAAACAAGGATGATGTAAGAACAAGTCAGGCAGTGTGGATTTTCAAAAGTCTATATCTCAATTTTTTTTTTTATCCTTATTTTTCATTCTCATCTTTTACTAACAGTTTGATGAATTTCAACTTCAATTTCTCTTTCAAAACTGCCTTAGAAAATTATCATAAGGGATATGGATATAAACACACAATTATAATTTATACGGTAAGATTAAACAATTGGTATCAGCCCCACTTTGTCCTTACCTAGACTGGTTTGTGAAGGATCTTTGTCGTAGAGCTTCTTTGACATGGACAGCACAGGCCACAGCTATCAGGTGGTTCTGCTGCTTACTGGTCAGCTTTTTACCTGGTTAGGTATGAAAAGAATTATTTTTATTAAAGAAACAAGTTCAACAGACCACTGCTTTGAGGTGGTTCTTCTGCTTACTGGTCAGTTTTTTTACATGAAAAGATATGAAATACTACAAATTTTTATTAAATAGTAAGGTTTAGTTTTGTAGAAATACTGTACAGTTGTGTTCGCACCAATTTGTAAATCTTCTCGGGTTTATAAACTTACAGTCTGAGGGATAAAGTAACTTCAGGTCCGTACTTACTACTTTAACCACCATGGGTATGAAACAGGTTATCAAGTTCCTTAACTTCCTTTCCACTGATTTATACAACTGACATGTCCTATAGAATCTATTTCAAACCTCACTTGTTTGGCTACGAAGATATCCGCTGCATTTTTTTTACATATTACTTTAGAAATCTGTCCACTCACCTTTAAATCCATCAGGATAAACTTCCTGTAGATAACTGGTGGTGATGTCTCCTCTCACAAACCTGTCCTCTGTCATTATGTCCCTCAGTAGGGGGATGTTGTGTGTCACTCCTGTAAATATCACAATTATACAAATCTCTATATCAACTAACACAATCTCTATAACAACTAACACAAAAGGATTGATGTTGCGTCACATCTGCAGCAATCACTTAATAGTGAAAAAAAAAACAAAAAAAAAAACTCAATCTCAGAGTAGTTTTAAACAAATTTATGTAATTTTAATCATAAAGCACTGCTTTAATGACTGCATTAACATGTTACCTCTAATAGCATAATGGTCAAGAGCTTTGGCCATAGTGTCCAGAGCTTCTTGTCTAGTGGCACCATAGGACACAAGCTGAAAATAGTAACATGAGATGACCTTTAAAGAAAGACAAAATATTTTATCAGGGCACTTTTCTCTATCCTTTTTCTCTCTCACTCTCTCTAATGCAAAAACAAATATAAACACACCTAATGAGGCTGAAACGTATACACCAGCACTGCCCTAAGTCTTGTACATATAGTACTGATAGTGCTAGCCTCTTTAGTTTAACAAACTCACCACTAGGGTGCAGCACTTACCTTACAGATAAGGGCATCGTAATACACACTGATTTCACTTCCCTCACGGATGCCACTGTCACAACGCACCTGATATACAGAATACCAAATGAAAATGTATGAAATGTAGAGACACAGCAATAAGTAAGTGCTGAATATCACTTTGACAGAGAATGAGTTACTAAATGCGTATTACAAACTTTATGATGGACACAAAAATAACGTTTTAAAGAAAGCCCAGCAGACTGATACTAACATTTGGAATATGTGAAGGTTCTATGTATGTAAAGAGTCGCCCCACTGACGGCAGTCCAAAACTCTTGTAAGGATCCTGTAAATAATAAAAAAATTATTTAACATGTCTTAATATTATACAATAAGCAGAAACAGAGAACTGAAATATTTTCTGTTCTACTAAGCTCTGGTATTACTTTTAATAATGATTTTGTTTTTTCTAAAGTTATATAAATTCTAATGGTTTAAGAATATAATGTACAGAACTCCAGACAATTTAATGATGCATATTGATGGTTTTTCCCAAAATAGGAACAAAATTTCTAAAATTTTTAAAAGTTTAATAACTGATTCAATCCTTATCAAAAACTCATGCATTTAAATGATAAAATTTTTAAAAACTGAAATAAGTATATAACTACTTTTAATGAATAAAAAATGTATAACTAAAGCTAAAACAAATACTTCACCTCAGCGTAAACTCGGCATTCTAAGGACCACCCATCTATTCCAATGTCATGTTGTTTGTGGACTAGTGGATGACCTGGAGGAAGAAAAATAATTTCAAAACTATAATGTTTTTTACCAAATTATTTAAGTAAGATTTTTTTCTCAAACTAATCAGTAAGTTTTCTAAGCAGAAGAAAAAAATAAGTTTTATAATTTAAAGTTACATTTTAAACTAATAAATATACATTGGTGTGTTTTTCTCTGTCAACTTTAAATCATTAAATTTTATCTAAATGTATTTCTGCAGCAAATATACTTTGATAATTTCAAACAAAGGGGTTATACTACACTACAACTACAGCCAATTGGTGTACAATATCACTGACAGTAATAGATTACAAGTACAAAAGCACATTGTCTTTACCTTTGGCCGACCTCAACATCTGGTGAACAAGATCAATGCCAGTGATACATTCTGTAATTGGGTGCTCCACCTGGAGTCTTGTGTTCATTTCCAGGAAATAAAAGTTCTTCTTGTTGTCCACCAGAAACTCCACAGTTCCTAGATAATAAATCATACATCATTCAATAATAAACACTTTATAGAATTGATTTTTACATAATGACATTTAAAAAAAAAAAAAGAACATTTGTAAATTGAAAATCACTCAGCAAATGCAAACCTTTGCCAAGGCAGCTCAATTCTCATTACTGTTTATTAAAAATTAATTAATGGATCACTCCCAAAATCTAATAAATTCTAAATTAGCCCAGTTATGACCTATCCCGAACATTTAATTACAATCTGTCCATAACTTTTCAAGTTAGGCAGTTGACTTACAAACCAACATAGCAAAAACATAAATTAATAAAACTGCACAAACACCCTAAATCTGCCTCAACTTTATTTATGATAATAAGCCCTTTTTGAAATGGAGCTCCTCCATCGTGTGACATGAGTTCTACTTACCTGCGCTATCGTACCCCACTGCCCTGGCCAGAGAGGTGGCCTGCTCCCCCATAGCTCTTCTCATGTCTGGGTCCACAAATGTGCTGAGGAT